TCACCACTCTTCTTTTTCCATAACCTCCAGGAACATTCGTCGCCACGCAACCTTATCAGTGACCTTCGGGAACATTAGTCACCACTCTCCTTTTCCGTAACCTCCGGGAAGAATAGTTCCCATTCCGATGAATGGAATATGCGAACGTACGACAAACCAATCAGATTGCGTATGGATTGGGATTCTCTGAAAACAATAACGACGAGTTCTTCAATCCATTATGGTCGTATGTAACTGTAAAATTCCGTAAAAAGTGAGTGAGTGAATATGGTTTTACGCCGCTTTTAGCAATATTCCAGCAACATCAAGGCGGGGGACACCAGAAATGGGCTTCACACATTGTACCCATGTGGGGTCCGTAAAAAGTATGTATCGTCATTTCGTCAGTACACAGTAGGCATACGTAGCTGACAGAATTGAGTTGCCTACTTTGACAATAAGGATAGGGCAATGAACCGTGAAGATTGAAACACACACACGTGTTTTTCTTCACACAGCGGACCCGTGAAGGTTCGGGTTAGAATATTGATCTTCAATAATCCATGCTTGTCGTATACACCATGTCGGAAAGCGCACGTAAAATCTGCCAAGGAAGCAAGCAGGATCGTCAGAGAAAACACACGATAGGAATGTGAAGAGTGAGTGAGTGAGTGAGTTTAGTTTAACGCCGCACTCAGCAATATTCCAGCTATATGGCAGCGGTCTGTAAATAATCGAGTCTGGACCAGACAATCCAGTGATCAACAGCATGAGCATCGATCGGCGCAATTGGGAACCCATGACATGTGTCAACCAAGCCAGCGAACCTGACCACCCGATGCTTTGCACGAATGCAACATTAATAACATTCTCTGCTCCCCTATTTAATGAAGTTAACTCAACCTGCCGTTTGTGCCATTTGATCTCACGGGTCATGCATATGTAGAGTAGCTCCGGCCAAGCTGAACAAGCTGTAAGGCTGCAAGGTTCCATACACGTTTAGACTTACACTCATGCACACTAAATCATGTCAGGACTCTCCACGAATTCTTCAGTCTATTATATATTTTAAAGTTCATATATTAAAGCTGAAATTATTTATAGCTGCAAGTTTCAAAACAATATATTCATATATAGTCAATCAACATTACTCTTGAAGAATGTGCTTACATTTCAGTTCGCTTGGGATATTTTAGTCTGACATTTCTGGGGTTATTCACATTGTTTCTACACATTCAAATTCCACTAGGTGTATGGCAGCAATGTTACATAATGCTTAAACGGATAAACACTGTGTAGAATAAATAATGATAGGACTCACTACGAATCTTTCAGGTTTTAGACCTATTAAAGTCGAATACATATTATTCATATTAATTGCCTATTCAACAAAGAAAATCACCAACCGTTTTTAGAAATATACATTTGGAAATAAATAGGTAAGCAGTTGGTTCATAATAACATTAGAATGTGTTTTCAACAACTCGTCATCACAATTGTTATTATTTTTATTTAAAACAGATTCGGTAATGGTTTTTGCTGTGGGAATTAAACAGAAATAGAGTTATTGTTCTTGCTTGGAGAATTTCTGATGTTCATACGCCAACATGACATCTTACCAGAAGGGTACGAGTCGTTGGTGGGCCAGTCCCGAAACAACACGAGCTGGTGACAAGGGGATGACAAGGCTTCATACTACCCGTCAAAGTTTAACTGTTTCCTATGCATTGGCTTTTAACCAATAAGAAAGGACCTCTAATAAGCGTCGCTTATCATGACCGTCATATAGTTGGAATATTCCTGAGTGCGGTGTAAAATAACAAACCAAAATAAATTTTGTTACAGAACAGCTGCATCAAACTGAACATATGACATCTATGACCAAAGCGGTTTTGTTAATGAACAACAAACGCAGGTGGCATTTAAGATGTCAGTTTAATGGCAGAATATATCGAACAAAAATAACACAGTACGACATGATGTACTATATATGCATCTTTGTACATGTCATGACAACTGATGTTAACTCTTAGAAACCCACTTGAGTGCATAACATAAATATTCACAGTAAAATATCAAACACCCTCACCTGAACATGTATACTAACGGAAAAAAGTAACTGTGCATTCAGAAATTGCAAAAAAGTAAAGTTATTTGAAAGTTGTACAAATAATCCTAAATAAACATATAGCAAAGCGCTTTGCATTAAATTTGATGTCACGTATCGCGTGTGGCACATGCACAATGAACTTACTCAGTTTCTGCATGCTTTCTGACACCTCTGAAGTGCACACACCTGATACAGAAAATTAACGAATGGTTCATTATTCTCTCGTCTCTGAATGTTGGGGAAAATACCTTAATTTCAACCTAAACTGCGCGTACGTCACACCACTGCTTACAGAAAATCAGCGTCTCCGCCTCGTGGGTATGCTGGAGACTGGAATGGTCCAAAATGAAGTGGGAAGACGACAGATTTGCCTCGGCCGTCCACGCGTGTTATCAAGTCAGTCAGCAAGACAACCACATTCGGCTGACACATACAAGGAATTGATTCCAGACTGCCAGTTTGACTGCTCGGACCATTCCAAACTTACTCAATTCAGTTCCAGGACTGTACGGAACCGAGTGAGGGAGCACAATATCCGGCCCCGACGGCCTGCAATACAGCCAATTTTGCTCCAACGCCACCGACAGGCACGTCTTGCCTGGTAGAGACAACATCTACGGTACCGGAGACAAGATTGGGATGGTGTTTTGTTCACTGACAAGTCGAGATTGCATCTGGACAGTTCAGATGGCAGGGCAAGGGTGTACAGGCGGCGAGGTGAACGGTATGCTGACGCGTGCATTGTTAAACATCGACAGTTTGGTGGCGAGAGCAATGATATGGGGAGACATCACATCTCATGGTCGGAAACAACTTGTCATTGTCGATGGCAATCTGACAGGTCTCAGGGATGAAGTCATTGGGGCCTATGTGTGCATCCGTTCATTCAAGGACAGAGACGTAACTTCACGCATCAGCAAGATAATGCCCGTCCACATGTCACTCCATTTCCTGAGACAGCAGAACATTCCGGTACTCCCCTGTCCAGCTTTTTCTCCGAACCTGTCCCCAATCGAGCACGCTTGGGATGAAATAGTGCGACGTTTACGTCAACCCCAGAATCAGCCATTGACGTTAACTGAATTGGGACAAACGTTGGTTCAGACATGGAACAACATTCCCAAAGCTTTTCTCTTGTGAACTGACTTTTGACACCACATCTCGTCACGGTCCCTCGTGTCCAATCATGCAGATTTCGATATTATATTGTCAACAGTGAAACAGTGATTAAGGAAAACATCACAAATCTTTTTATCTTTTTTGCACTAAAAATGGCATAACACCAAATAATGCACAGTTACTTTATACAAGTAGTATGTATTATGTATAATGTCAAAGTCAAATCTTATGTTCGTATAAAAGCCAATGACCTATATACAGAGAAAATACCTATTTACATATTTCAGTAGTACTTCACTTCGCACATAATTTGCTAAAATTATTCCAGCATTTTTTAAACTTTGACTCATTCAATGAGTTTGAAATAAGTCAGTATTTCTATACCAGTTTTCTGATGCATGAAATCTTGATTTTTAATCACTGACCTCATAAGACCATAATGCCGTAATGGCTATTCATATATGCATCGGTATGTGTGTAACTTAAATTTAGTTTACAAGTAGATTGCACCAATATATGTTCACGCTCTTGGTTAGGAAATATCCACATGTTATTTAAGATTATATATAATAGACTTACTCAGGCTCGTAGAGTATTTATGCAAACTGAGATATAGTACAGTTAGATATATATGAAATCATGGTATTTATTTATTCATATTCACCACACATAACACTGAGAAAACTGAGATGTACTACAATTAAATATAAATGAAATCAATGTGTTGATTTGTTTACAGTTACCACACATAACATACGTGAATCTTCAAAAGAAGCCATGGAATATGCACTAAGTAAGAACAAATAAATACACAATTTACTAAAAACTAACCTCTGCTCAATTGACAAATGTGTTCATCGATGTTGATACAACGCCAGTACAAGGTTCCAGTGCAGATGACAGTCAGCTGACTCACAAAGCCCCACAAAACATCCTGCTACTGAATATAAGGGCGCCGAGGCGACAAAAGCCACCAAGGGAACCACTAGAGCAGGCAAACGCAATGGTAACTGTGCTATTGCGAAAGTAAAGCAGGCAAAAGATTCAAATAAGAATTGACATCAAAATACACTTGGTATTATAAACATAATTACTACCATACAAATATATGTTCCACCAAACATACAATAATTTTTATTATTATTTATTTTATGAAAACAGAATGTATTTACATACTGTCTTTGGCATTGTCTGTGATCATTAATTCTTCAAGCATCTATGGTCTTCAGAAACAAATATTTTGTATTTCGTTTTTAATGGTGCATTTATAAAAGTCCCCTTTTTTCGCGCTCAGTTCAAGTGTTATTGCCAGGACTGATATAGGAAAAGGTTCGTCTTACCACACTTTGTTTGGTTATACAGTCAATAGTCATCAAGGTTGCGGCTACGCGTACACTACCATATCACTATCAGGGACATTAGCGATCACAATTAGATGTTACTGAATAATTCAAGTGTTATTTGCGCAATGGTTTTTGAGGAGAGTTTTACAAAACACAAAGGTCTTGACGTAAGCTCATCCTTTTTCAGATGTGAAGTTAAACTCATTAAATTTAGTTGCACCCATTTCATTTACAAACTCAAAAACTGAAAACAGCTTTTGTCCGCGCTCACTGCCTCACAAACTTTGAGATAAAAGTATTGTTACACATACAGCTACAAATATAGCTGTACTCGTATTTGCAAAAGTATAAAAATGCTCTAGATCGGCAGACAAAACAGTGTGCTAAAGAACAGAAAATGTTGGAATATGGGTACACTTTAAAAGAGGTAACTCCAATGAATCATCACATTACATACTACGTATTGCCCGCTCCAGATTCTGCCAGAACACTTCTTGACCTTCCTGATCATCCGTGTACTCTACATAGGAATCTTGACACATCAACTCCACAATGTCAGGGGTCAGGTCCTTCACAGGGATGTTCTCCAGTACAACAACCAGCAGGGTGTTCCGTCCTGTGTAGATACTCTCCATCTTAGCCATCTCCACTTCGTACTTACACCAGTAGCTCCTCAAGAAGTGTCTTGACAGGACAATCACCGTCTTCCTGCTGGATTTCACGGCGTTCAGGATGTTGGCAGCGATGGCTTCCCCGACGAGAAAGTCTCGGTGATGAATACAAAGCTTTAGACCTTGCATCTCTTCAAGCCTCTGCCTCATGTTCCTTACTACAAGTTCACGGTCCTCATCAGCGTAGGATATGAAGGCATCAAACTCGAACCCCTGTTCCTCCTCTTCTACAGGCAGGTAGCCTTTGTGTCGGTTTCGGGCAACGTAGTAGAGGTACCTCAGTTTCCACCTGTATCTGTACACGATGCTTGTCACGGCAAATGTCAGGACCAGCATGATGAGACTGAGCATCCCAATCACCACCCCAGTGTAGGATGCACAACTCTTCTCCAGTTCCATGATGATCCCTTGTAGGTTGCTCATGTATTTCATACCACCATTTGACCCTGTACAGTGTAAATCTTGAACATTGTATACTCTGCTTCGTTTAATGTCCAGCCACTTCAAGAAGCTCAGTGTTTCACATGTACATTTCCATGGGTTTTTATGAAGCTTCATTTTCAGTCCTTTGCTCCCACTGTCATCAATCTGTTTTCTAAAGGATACATCAAGCTGCTCAAAGAGATTATCGGAGAGATCTAAAAGTTTCAACTTCCTCAGATCCCCAATTTCGGTATTCCACGTATTCAAATAGTTGGACCCAACACTCAAGTACTGTAGATTTTCTAAGCCCTTAAAAAAGTCCCTTGGAAGAGTACTCAGTTTATTATTTGATAGATCCAGGTGTTCGAGCTTGAATAGTTTACGAAATGTTTCATTATGTAATGTATAGCCAAGATAATTGAAGCTTATGTTCAGTATTCTCAAGGAAATAAAATCATCCAAGAAATGTGTGTTCATCAAATCACAATAATTGTGCGATGCATCAATAATTTCCAGATGATGGAACCCGATAATTGGTCCAACCCACTTTGTAAAGAAATTATAAGACAAATCCAAAACCTTTAGTCTGTTCTTACCAAATGTCATTCTAGGGAGGGTGAAACTCAGTTTCGAGTTGCTGAAGTTTGCAAGTGTTAGATTTGGTGGAAAGGTGATAGTGAAATTACCTGGCCATGGTGTGTCACTAACAAAAACATGTCCAAAAAGAGAAAAGTCATGTTTGTTATAGTTGGCGACAGGGTAATTTGAAATGCAACCTTCACCAGGTGGTGAGGGGTTACCATGAGTCATATGAGGGTTTCCATCGGTGAGGATAGAAGCAAGTTCTGCATATACTGAAAACGGATGAACATAAGATAAATGACTTGAAGACGTATCCAGAATCTGCAGGTTGACCATTGATCCCATGGATAGAAGGTACAAACCAAAATAAAACATGTTTTTTCGCATTGAAAGAACTTTCAGCGTTTGTGGCAGAAGGACGGGTACTCGAGGATCCAGTATTTCTATCCGGTTATCATCCAAATGTAATTCCTCAAGGACCATATCAGACATATATTTAACTTGTTCCACAGTTACGAGAATGCCGATACCTCGATATCTCCTTAGTGTATTGGCTCGTAGGATTTTCAGTGAAGAATTACGAAGACCATACAAACTCGCAAAAGCCTTGTCAAATCCAAGATCGGAATTTCGGGATATGTCTAACATGTGAATGTTTTGGAGAGGCTGAAATGCAGATTGACCAATATCAGTTATTTCACAATTTGACATGTCTAAGTGTGTTATTCTCTTTAGATAGCGGAATGTTTCATTCGACAAGTCCCTCATGTTGCAGTTTCCTCCAATCTTCAGGGTCGTGACGTTGGTGTCATTAAATCCTTGTCCAAAAATTGGATTCTTCAGCCCATCTATGTGAAGTTCCTCAAGGGAAACCAGATCCTGGAAAGTTTCATCTGGGTACTGGAGTAAATACATTTCTGTTTGTGAATTATCAGCTTGTCCTTCAAATTCTACCGGCGAATTATTTTCCATTTTCAAAACCTTCAGTTTCTTCTGGAACCGGAACAGTCCTTTTGGAAAAACACTTTTGCACAAGGATAGATGATTATGGCTAAGTACCAGAACGTTTAACTCTGTTAGCCCAACAAAATCGTTTCTCCTAAGCATTTTGAGTTTGTTGAATGACACATCCAGGCGTTTTAAAGAGGTATACTTCTTCAGTTGTTTACCAATATTTGTCATTCTGTTATGACTCAGACTCAGCTCTGTGATATTGTATGGGAGGTGACCGGGAACTGATGGTAAGGATCTATTTGAACAATCCGCAATGACTTCATCCTTTGTTTCAAAACAACTGCAAGGGTGGCAATGAAGTGACGATCCATCTGCTGACACCAGGACCACTATCAGCCACATGGGTATCCAAAGTCCAATCTGAAAGTAGTTATCATTGTTATTAGCACAAGGAGGAAGAAAGGAGGGTGTGAAAGAGGGGAAGGAGGAAGAAAGGAGGGTGTGAAAGAGGGGAAGGAGCAAGAAAGGAGGGTGTGAAAGAGGGGAAGGGGGAAGAAAGGAGGGTGTGAAAAGAAAGGGGAAGGAGGAGGAAGAAAGGAGGGTGAAGAAAGGAGGGTGTGAAGGAGGGAAGGAGGGAAGTGAAGGAAAGGAGAAAGGAGGGAAGAAAGGGAGGGTGGAAGAAAGGAGGGTGTGGAAGGGGAAGGAGGGAAGAAAGGAGGGTGTGTGAAAGTGGGGAAGGAGGAAAGAAAGGAGGGTGTGAAAGAGGGGAAGGAGGAAGAAAGGAGGGTGTGAAAGAGGGGAAGGAGGAAGAAAGGAGGGTGTGAAAGAGGGGAAGGAGGAAGAAAGGAGGGTGTGAAAGAGGGGAAGGAGGAAGAAAGGAGGGTGTGAAAGAGGGGAAGGAGGAAGAAAGGGAGGGTGAAAGAGGGGAAGGAGGAAGAAAGGAGGGTGTGAAAGAGGGACAGGAGGAAGAAAGGAGGGTGTGGAAAGAGGGAAGGAGGAGAAAGGAGGGTGTGAAAAGAGGGGAAGGAGGAAGAAAGGAGGGTGTGAAAGAGGGTGAGGTGAAGGAAGGAAGAGAAGGAGGGTGTGAAAGAGGGGAAAAGGGGAAAGGAAGGAGGGTGTGAAAGAGGGGAAGGAGGAAGAAAGAAAGGAGGGTGTGAAAGAGGATGGGAAAAGGAGGGTGTGAAAGAGTGTGAAGGGAGGAAAAAGGAGAGGAAGGAGTAGAATGAAGAAGAGGGGAAGGAGGAGGAGAGTGTGAATGAAGAAAGAGGGAAGGGGAAGGGGAAGAAAAGAGGGTGTGAAAGAGGGGAAGGAGGGGGAAAGGGGGATGTGATAGAGGGGAAGGAAGGTGACTTTAAGAATGCCTTTATCCCTGTGATAAGTGTTGTTTTTGTTAGTATTCACCTTTAACCCCTAGGCTATCTCACCGCCCCGAAATGTGCACCAAACCTCACATCACAGAATGTAATATTGACTTATTACATTTCCATGCCAATTTCTATCTCCTACTCCTTGGCAGCTGGTAGGGCTGAGTTAGACCTTTCTTTCATGAAGTTTAAAATGTCTGGCACAAATCAAATACATTATCAGCCGGAATATATACAATAATGAAGTAAATGTGACACACAGATTGGTCCAAGGATGGTTGCAATATTTTCCTACCCAAACCAATATCTTTCCGAAAGCTCAATTTTCACTGCTGAAGCAAAGGCTATTCTAACAGACTCAGCGAATATTTCATTATTCCCTGAAAGTACAAGTGTTCCTTTATTCTTTTCCAGAATTTCACCCACAGTGCAAGTCATAGGTTGTGAAGAAACGTGAAAAAGAATAAAGGAACACTTGAACTTTCATGTGTTCCTTTATTTGTTTCCATGAGTATATATTCTCTAATCATTGACATTATATAACAATCTTTCCACTGACCAGTACGACAGTGATTTTTGTTGGTTACCGTGTCCTGTCGGCATATTTCATAACACAAAGTCTGATGCTGCAGCTACTGCATCTCTTGACAAATCCGTCTCTACACTTTAGACACCATGCTATGACTTTAAACCCCAAATACAAACAAACTGGAACACCAAAGTAGATGTGAACATCTTCATGACACTAAACCAATACATGTGTGTGTATGCGTGCGCGCTTGTGTGTGTGTATGCGTGGGTACGTGCGTGTGTGGTTAATAGGATAGGCATGTACTTACCCACAACGTCATGATTGTGTCTGTCAGAGCACGGAGCTGTCAGGGAAAGCTGTTAACCAACAGACGTGTATCAGAGATTGGTTTGCACCTGTTAATACTTCCTGCTTAGTGTTGGAGTCAAGTATGCCCGTCACACCTCACACATCTCAGATTGAATGGATGCATTGTATGTTATCTCTCATTCCGGGTATCGTTGCAGAGTATCAACAGTGGCCAGGTTCGTCCAAAGCGCAGCAGCCAGACTCCAATATCTGCTATGTGGTCCTTATAATAGCGATAAGCCCAACCACTCAATCCTTTCTTGGTATTGCATGTGATATGAAAGCCATTATGGCAAAGTATGCCGAGGGTTGTCCTCAGCAGCTCCATTGGAGTAATGGTGCTAATAATGAATAATCAAACATTGTTTGATTATTTACAAATGTCAACGTCACTTAAAATTACACATTCTGTCCACGTCACCTGATATTCCACATTCTCACCACGTTCAGCTCATATTCCACACCGTGTCCACGTCACCTCATATTCCACAGTGTGTACTTGTCACGTCATATTCTAGAGTGTGACCACGTCACCTCATATTCCACACTCTCCACGACATTTCATATTCCATATTCTCTCCACCTCACCTCGTATTGCACAGTATGTTCACGTCACCTTATATTCCACAGTGTATCGACGTCACCTCATATTCCGCAGTGTGTTCACATCCCCTCATATTCCACAGTGTGTTCACGTCACCTCATATTCGACACTGTGTTCACGTCACCTCATATTCCACAGTGTGTTCATATCACCTCATATTCCACTTTCTGTCCATGTCACCTCATATTCGAGAGTGTGTCAACGTCACCCAAATTCCACATTATCTCTACGTCACCTCATATTGCACAGTGTGTCAACGTCACCTCATATTCCACAGTTTGTTCACGTCACCTCATATTCCACAGTGTTTTCACATCACCTTATATTCCACAGTGTGTCCACATCACCTCATATTCCACAGTGTGTCCACGTCACTTCATATTCCACAATGTGTCCACGTTACCTCATATTCCACATTTTGTAAACGTCACCTAATATTCCACAGTGTGTCCACGTCACCTCGTATCCCAGTGTGTCCAAGTCACCTCATATTCCACATTTTGTAAACGTCACCTAATATTCCACAGTGTGTCCACATGACCTCATATTCCACAGTGTGTCCACGTGACCTCATATTCCACAGTTTGTAAAC